CTGTAAATTCCTTATCTCATGGGACGCCGACTGAAACGGCGAAACATGTGTTTTCAATGCAAACACAGTATCCGAGTAGAATAGTAATACTGACTAGCGTACAGCCTAATTTCAAGATATTTCAATATTGTCAGGATGACGGCTTTAGAATGAGTTTTTTCTGACTATCTGTGAAAAGTGTCAGTATCAAGAAGAAGAAGACGAAGACTCGATCGCTGGGACAATACGTTTATTCGCCTGACGTTTCGACATCCATCGCAGATTCATCATCAGAGACATGAGTAGAAAACAGAAGCAGAAACTCATGTGTCATGTCTCCGATGATGAATCCACGACGGATGTCGAAACTTCAGGCGAATAAACGTATTGTCCCAGCGATCGAGTCTTCTTCTTCTGCTTCTTCTTCTTCTTCTGCTTCTCAATTGCTCCCTGGGACTCGCATGTTCGCTTGTATTGGCAGTGTCAGTATCAGTTTATAGGTGGAAAGATAGGCAAATGCCTTTGAGCTCCCTATTGGTAACAAGACGGATAAAATGCATGGATAGAAAAGAGAACATAAACAAGATACTTCAATTACGTGCTTGCAAACGGAGAAAGAAAAGCCGGTGGAGTTTAAGTAGTAATAAATAATGACTACTGGCTTAGCGCGAGTAGTATACTTAGGATGTATAATAAGTATTCGTAATAAGTTTGTGTAATCCTCCACCTCGCGAGTCAGATTTACATTGATCAACAAAATGTATATTCCGTAGTATGCGCATTTCTTATTGATTTTAGCTGTGCTTATTTCATAAAAATACCCTTTTTGTATTCATTAAGAAGTAATCTAGGTTTTATTAAAATATTATACCTGAAAAGAGATAACTTTCGGTTTAAAAAGTTTCTTATTGTTTGATTTTCTACGACCGGGAAATACCAGTAAAGTCTGAGATTTCAACAGGCATTCTCGACGAGGACCAGTATTTGCTCATAGCAGGGTTGCGCAAGGACGGTGAATTTCGCTGCATCTACCTCGATCTCTGTTCCACTACTTCCCTGCCTGTTAAAAGCACACTGGTTCCACATTCACAGACAACTTCGTGACCTCGTCTGAAGAAAAAGATGTTCCTTGGGATAAAAAGGTAAATTTAATCAGTGAATCTTTGGAGTGGAGGGCCTCAAGAAATACTCTACCTTTTTTGGAGGGGCCAACTACGACTATGTGTGTTTTATCCCATGCGAAGGTGTGCCTTGTATAACCACTTCGGATAAATGCTACTTCTTTTCGCTGCCAGTTGGTGTTCGTAAATGCGTGCAGGAACTGAACGTATACTGCAGCCAAACAGGAAGGCCCATCTCTACACGCATCCACGAACACCAACTGGCAGTGAAAAGACGTGACTATTTATCCGAAGTGGCTATGCATGGCCTAGATACAGGAGACAGCCTCGCATGGAAAAAACACACATCGTCAGAGTTTGGGCCTCCAAAAAGGTCGAGAATTTGTTGAGGCCATGCACACCGATTTATCATACATCAACCGACACATAGGGTAACATATAATTTATAACCATCTCAAAGAACGCTAGAAGATACGGGGACCGCACAATGGAGACTGACAGAAACCACAACTACCAATCAGCTCTCAGGCCATGACTATTAATTTTTTCCGCTAATTTAAAGTTAAGTTGCTTCTTGCACATTCTTGTTAGTCCGAAAACGGGCTGTGGAACCAGTCGCTAAAATTCACTGATTAAAGTTACCTTCATATCTCAAAGAACACATTTTCGTTCAAATTAAACTTCTTTGGATGTACGATTTCCAGCTTATGCGAATACATGTAAGTTTCCTTGGACAGAAGCTATACTGCATGTAGGTTGGAAGCCGTATATTCAAGTCTAATGGCTGGCACGGCCTGCCTTAAGTTTCTCGACAGGCGGAAATTGAATTTCAATTTCAACATGGAGGGTAGAGGAGAAGTTATGGATTCGTGGTCAATATGGAAGCGAAACTTTTTGCGGATATTTTTCAGTTTATTTAGTTGCGGGGCACTAATCAAAACCGTTTGAAAACCCTACTTACAAGAGCGTCATATATACTTGCACACACGCCCGTTAAAATGTTCATTGCTAAATGACCTTGTACTCACAAAGCGTAAGTAGTATTGTTTTTGTCTTCATAAACAACTCCTGCCTGGAGTGGGAGTTGCGCTATTTCAGACGCGGATTGTGCGGCCACCTACAACTACTTACCGGAAGTGAAGACCTCCGAACTGTTGCGTGTAGCGTTC